TCAAAGCGTCCCAGGTCTCTCAGTCGTACTCAGTTTTAAGTGTGTGAACGGGCCTTTACACGTTTTTAACCCGAGAAAGGATTAGAAACATGAGACAAACCCGCAATGAGTGCGTTCAGTCTCAGACTCAAGATACTAAATTCCTGTCAACTCAGTTAGAACACTCGTCGAGACTAAATAACATGTTCTCTCCAAATCCAAATAAGTACTAACATAATAAAAAATTAAATACACAAACAACACACGCTCCAGCTACAAAGGTGATGATTGCTTTTGGTTTCATTAAAACGCTTTGACAAATGGCGATACTCGTGATATACGTACATCTTGAAAAACACTCAAGATGATGAACGAAGGACTGTACGTCTAGAGCTGCAGAGGGAAATAAACAACAACGACGAGAAACAATCGAAGTATACACAAGGAAGTGTCTATGCGTTCGCAAATCCCAATTTGGAGGCCGGGGGGGGGGGGGGGGGGGGCTAAACCAACAACGAACTGAATAAACCACGTAGGATTATGGGGCATTTAGTATGTACGTGATTGGTTTAGTTGGAAAAAACAAACGCTCAAAAATGACGAACGCCTTGACGAAGCACTTTTGGTGGTGCTTGACTGGCTTATCGGATCACTGCAATGACTCCAGACGGACTTAGTGGGAAAAGGGAGTGTAGTACAGTTGCCCGAAAATTAAAAATTTAAAAATCATATTAATTTGATTATTCATTTCGACCTTTATGCATTGATTTCCGCTGCCTCCGGTGGCGTCCCTGATTTCGCGACCTCGATCTGAAGTAGCAGAACTGGGCCGCCTCGACCAAAAAGACCACCAGACCGAGTCCCATGCCCATCGCCCAGACGAGGAAATAAGGTTGGAGGTCATGAAGGGTCAGCGTACTTTCCGTTTCGGGCAGGACAGAGTTTATACTCCGACTGTAACCTGCTTTGAACTCCTCCAGGGATCCAGCTCTTGCATAAAGTCCGAACATGACCCCGTCAATGATCACTTTGCCAAAGTCCTTAAGGTACGGTGAAGATGCCTGCATGAGGGGTCCCGCGAGCTCGGACAGAGCTTCGCGCCTGGTCTCGACGAATTTCAGACCATAAAGCTGACGGCGCAAAGCTTCGTACTGGCCAAAAGGAAAGTGTCGGATGAGAAACGAGTCTCTTCCGTCGTCGAGGATATTGAAGACGTTGTTGGTTATACAGTTGAGATGCTTCTCGCCTTTCCGAAGCGTTTGCGGGAGGTATGTCACATGAAAGAATCCCAAGTGACTAGTTATTATGCAGATTCTATAACCCTGTTGAATTATTGTCTGGCTGGACCAGAAGACTGGAAGTTTTCCTCTGAGAGGCAAGTCTCTGAGAAGGGATACCAGGCAGCCCTTAAACGCCGTGGCCAGAACTAGAATCACAATAGACCACACTCCTAAAAGTACTCTAAAAGAATGCTTTTTCATCAGCTCCGAAGAAGGTGGTTCGCTTTGCTGCAGGAGAGTTGAGAAGATGGGAGAAACAACATGAGAAATTTTGACAGAGGTGATCTGAAGCGTTCGGGTGACAACTGCGGCGAACAGGATGTACAAGGTCATAGACAGCAGCAGGGCTGCCCAAACGTTTACCGTGAAAGGCAAAATGAGAACTTCCTCTTTCGGTATTGGCTCTAGGCCCTTGACTAAGAAACTGTACCCGGTTGTGTCGTAGAACTGCGGCATCCTAGTGTGAGCAAAGTCGTTCCAGACGTCAAACTGCTGCGACAGTTCCACAAACACATTGCCGTAGCTTAACGCGTCCATGGCGTGCTCTGTCTCGCGCCAGTTATCTTCAGCCTGAATAACCTTCACCGTAGCGTTCCTGTGCCTGAGAGTATCTAGTAATGTTGTGAAGGTATATTTCGAGCATGTGTATGTCACGGTGCACCACCCAAAAAGAACGGCCTGGTTCACTGTTAGATTTTTCCTCAACACTGGAATCCGATGAAGGTATTCGCTCCCTGCGCAGTTTAAACATCCTTCCTCATACTCGTCTTTAAAGATAATCGTGTTGTTAACCACGCTCAGGTTGATGCCTGGATGACGAATGATATTTAACGGAATCTTCAACCTCGGCTTAGTATTTCGGTTTACATACTTTTCTGGAATGACGTACAGTTTCATAAAATGATGAAAAAGCGCGCGCTCCAATGAATCATCTGCCACATGAACACTCCACGGAGTGTGTTCACATACGAGTGCTACCAGGTTATACATTCTGAGCTTAAGCGTGCCGTCTATACCTCCGACGCTACTTGCCCAGATGTCAGTGAAGAACCGGACAGGGATGGGTAGGCTCTGCAGGAATCGTCGAATTGTTGCTTCATTTCTTCCGAAGCACTCTGCCGGAACGAGGACGTCTAAATAACTATCATGGGCGAACCTGGTCACAACATTTTTAAAGAGTGACGAAGTGAAGAGTTCTTGCCAGGATCTGTAATGTCGCTGATTCTCCACTTTGGATGTCCCCAATAGGAAACAGAGCACAGCCAGAACCTTTACTGCGTACATGCTGGTTTTCGAACAAGGGATGTGCTGTCTTGGTCGCTACCACAGCCTTGAACCTCGTGGTCCTCTTACTACGTCAAGCTAGTCCGCTTGCATATATAAAGATCAAGCTGTATGTTAACGTTTTTCAACTCACTTATAAATACTCTGCCTGATTTCTTTTTAAGAGCACTCGCCATGACGTCGAAACAGCAAACTGCCGGACCCATCGCTGAATTTGTGACATTTGGGAAAGTACTCCTCTTCAGCTCAGCACCAATCCTGAAGCATAGGAAAGCGTTTGGGCGGTGTATGGCTTCCGCGCAGGGCTGTGATTGGTTGAGGACAAAGTTACGTTCATTTGGAAAGAATACAGTCACGTGGCATGTTCTTTATGTCCGATTGTATAATACTCTTTTTTTTTTTAGGCTAAGACAGTACAAGACGAACTATTGATCGTTCATTGCCACGTAATTGGACCTTTAGGCGAGGCACGCTTTAAAGCCACTCCTAAAGTTTGATTAAGAGGTGCGGCATGGCAATTGGAAGGTCGAAATACAATTCATCATGGCGTGAGGGGGTGCAATTAAAACGCAATTGTCGCGTGTTTTCCATTTGGAGCGATAAACACTTTCTTATGAATAATATAATATGCCTCGGCTTCGTAAGGGCGTGTAATGGTCTTACATTGTGACAAATATTTCTTAGCGCCAGCGAAACGACCGAAACACTTTTATGTTATGGAAATGGAGGTAGTTGCTAAGGAAGACGACGCATCAATGTTCAATTTAGAAGGCCATTTGTGTACAACAGGAACTAATTTTTTTTTTTTTTCAAGTTAGAGAAACAAAGTTGTAATTTTTCTTTTTTTTTTTTAAATTAAGTAAATCTGATCGGTTTCGTTATTTCGAGCAGATTGGTTAGATTTAAAACACTGTAGCTATAAAATAGTAATTATCCCTGGATGTACTTTGAAACATGGCAGTCAATGTATCAGTCATTCCAACCGATCACTGAAAACAATAGGAAAGAAAATAATGACTAAATTTAAAGTAAGGTGAATTAATTTTGTACTGAGGAAACTCCGCAAAAGCACGAAAATAGCATTATTTGTTTTTGTTAGATACTAAAAAGCTGTATTTTGCCGCGTTGTGATTTGCTCTAATAGGATGTTATGGAACTGGCGAACCAAGAGAAGGTAGAAATATGGGTCATCGTTCCTATATGCTCAGAAGACCAATTAGCAATTAATTGGAATCGTGTTCAGCATGGGATAAATCTTTCCTGCTTTTTTATTATTTAGATACAAACCAGATTCACATAAAAAGTATTAAGTAATATACAAACGGTAAATATAGATATAATATATATTATGATTTTTTTTTTTTGCGATAAGGTTTGATTTAAATCATCATTATAAAGCCGATCGTATTTAACTCGTGATTGAAATTGTAAACTAAATCACGATTGAAATCATCTTGATTTGAATCCTTAGCCATGGAAATAGGCAACAGCTCTTCGCAACAAAACCGGTTCCTTGGTCGCCTTTTTTTTTCTTCTTCTTTTTATTGCTTTTTATTGCGTCGGTCAGAAGACAATCTTTTCCTTCAGCTTGAATACGAAAAAGGAGGTTGAGCTTCCTGGCTGAGATCGGCTTTAATAATTGTTTCTATTTTACGCCTCAAACTTTGAAAACAACGGAGAAACATACTTTTAGGGGAACTTTTCCTTGGATGTGGGTGGGTCAACATAGTTAGACATGAGGAAGATACATAGAAAGGGGGGACGGACAACGAAGACTTCCAACTAGCAACAACATTTATTGACCCGAAGTTTGCATATATAGGTGAAGGAGGGGAGGGTGAAAGACGCTACACTGGAAAGTGGGAAAGCGATGGGAGAGGGTGTAGAGCCAGGGAAATGAGGGACGATCCCGTGGGGTAGACATCTAATCGCTTGGAACCGCGGAAACGAGGGACGTCAGCTCTGGCCCCAGGAAGTTTATCTCCCTCCTGGATAAGCCTATGGACGGGGATCCGAAGTTGCTGTGACTGTGGTGCATGGCGAAGGCCTTCGGGTCAATAAATGTTGTTGCTAGTTGGAAGTCTTCGTTGTCCGTCCCCCCTTTCTATGTATCTTCCTCATGTCTAATTACCGTTACCAACACGCTCGTTTTGTTCTTAGGTCAACATAGGTTCTCACTTAAGTGTGAACTATACCAAACGTCCAACTTTCCATGGCGAGGCGCAGTGTACCTACAATCGTGGTTCTGATTATGCGCCGTACTTTTCAAGGACGGGCAGTTGTTGACCACTACCGGCTAATCTTTTCGTTTTAGAGCCTGGCTGACCGCACGCAAACTCAAACTTAGTTCTGAGCAGCTGTCGCCATGCCCCGAGCACTTCTTGGATAAAATCTCCTCGTAATCTAATCGTACCCTACAGTCGCCTCTCTTTCCTTTCTTTTCGTCTATCTATCCAGGGAGGGCAACAACCCCAAAGACCGAAAGACCATCACATATGAGGAGCTGTTGAACGATGTCTGCAAGTTCGCCAACGTGCTCAAACGAAAAGGTACCGTGAAAGACACCTCCCAGCATGCACGAGCCACCTCGCAACTGATGTCATCGTTACGTAGGTGACGGAAACGTAAAGTCCAAAAGAAGCACCAACTCGAGGAGGGCAAGAGATTTCCCTACCCCTGTTCTCTTGTGGCTATTGTTCACTTGTGAATAGGGCAGCGCTACGTCGACCAGTGCGCTGTATGACGCATCATAATTTTATTTCATACTTCCATTGGTCAAATACGTAAAGGCTTGTCCAGGGAGGGCCCTACTGATTTTTACTCGTAGGTTTGGACTGCCCTTCAACCCACTGAAAGCATAAGCCACCAACTGCCGAGCATATCGAATTCGGCCATGCATTAGACCGGCTGCGTCACTGATTTCCAACCCTCGTACGGATTTTCCAACCAATCCCTGAGGTTGTTCCAAGTGGAAAGAATATAAAACCAGTCATCCACTCATTTTATTAATTTTTTAGTAAATATTATTTTTTATTTTCTTTATATTTTTTATTTTCGTTAAGGAGGATGTTTTTGTGTGGGCGTGTTTGCTTTTATGTGCGTGTGATCTATATGTTCTTACGCAATACATGGCATGCACGTGACTTAATCGCCCCGTGCTGGTTGTCACTTTGGGTTATTCCTACTTGTTGTTACCGGGGAAAACAAATTCGGCGAAGTGTACGCTGCGGAAGGTACGCCCCGAGTCGCGAGGCCATTATATTGACCATCGATGAGCCGTCAATTGCAAGCCATGGATTTCTTTCGCTCATGGCCTGGTGCACGGCAAAGTTGACCGGCTGGGGACAATTGAGCACCATAATATTTCAAAATAAATGAATACATAAAGCACTTAGTTCAGTACAATAGCCCGCCATTTAAAGGGTGCTTGTATGTGCGCGGAGTACACATCATATGGCCTCACACGTGACTCCGTCAGAGGGCCTTGTGAAATGGACTTTACAACCAGAGGCGGTCCAAGAGGGAGGGGGGGGGGGGGGGGGGGGGCGAAGGGGGCGACCGCCTTCTTCAAAGCCTTTTGCTCGTTTTTTTGTTTTATTTAACATTTGTTTTCAAGAATACGGGAGCACTCTTGTTCACTGGAAGTGGCCAGTTGACTTCGACGATGTACACCAACTGCACCTCACAAGCACATCTAAAGTTGTGTCATCTTCCTTTAGAAGAAAATGTTAGCCGTCGCTTTGAAGTCACTTTGGTTTAGGCGACACCATGTGACACTGCGGCAACGGCCGTAACATAATCTCCTGGAAGCCGTCCGCCGCGACTTTCATGGTCCCTGCCGCCACCTAAATTATACCCCCCCCCCCCCCCCGTTTCCGCGAACCGATATCTGGAAATAGACCTGCCCCCCCCCCCCCCCCCCCCCCCCCCTTCCCCCTAGGACCAAGGTCTGGGATCGCCTCTGTGTACAACGCAGCTCGGTATAGATTCTGATACCATAAAGACGCACTCGGACTTTGTCGCAAAGAGTTTAGAACGCGTCTTTCATGTCGCCAAAGTTTGTGCTTGCGTCCTTGTTTGTGCGCCAACGTTCATCAGTTACAATGCATTTGCTTCCAAGTTCCCTTTCAATCGGAGACTTGGTGTCCTCACAAACTAATCTCATGTGATGCTTATCAAGATGGCGGACGCAGCGTCGTATCAAGTACGGAATTCCCACCACTGCTTTCAGGTGTCTGCCAGGGACACTTAGTCACCATTTATCTGCCCATGGTGCCCGAGCTAATCGTCGCAATGCTGGCATGTGCAAGGCTTGGGGCAGTTCACACTGTCGTTGTGAGTACGCTTTTTTTTTTTCTAGTTTCAAGCAGTTTGCCTGGAAAATATTATTAGGATTATTCCGCGTGTGCTTGTGGACTTTGCGGTGTGTAGGTTGGCGTGCCATGCTACGCCAGATTCTATACGATATTAGGATAAAAAGACACAAATAATATGAGCCTTAATTTCAGGGAATGCTGACTTACCTCGGAAACATAAATTGTCTTGAAATTTACATTGCAGACTTGGAAAAGTAGGTGCAAATATAAAGACACTTTTTTGTTTGGTTTTCAGCGAACATATGCGGTGAAGAGCGACGCATTTTGTTTCATTTAAATACCTTAAAAACTATCTTTGAGGTAGCCTTCGAGGTAATTAAACTCGTTCATGAATTGAAATGTATAGTTTTTATTTGCATTTATTGGCAAAAATACGTTGATGAATAAACATTCGGAAGAGCTGCCCATGATGACGGCACACTTGGTTAACCACAGATTAAAAAAAAAAAATATGTAACTAGTGATGTACACAGGTATGCACCAAGTATATCTAGGGTTTCACAAGACAGAAAAAAAAATTATTCTGACACTTGTGCCAGCGGATCGGACTGTCATGAGAAATGACGACGCAATGAATTTTCGGAGGGTTTTATACCACAATACTCTCAGGCGATTCCCGGGCTATGAAACACCTACAGTCGGCTGCAGGTTAAGAGTTCGGGGGAAGCTCCTCCCGCCCTTGTCAACCTTAGCAGATTGAACGCTGGAAAGAAGGCGGCCTCCTTTCCAGCGTTCTCTCTGCTAAATCCTACAGAACTAGGAAGAGCTTCCTTTAAAATCTCAACCTGCCGCCAATTATAAGTGTTTTCGACGAGGCGACGAGTGCGATATTTCAATTCGGCTCATTTGTGGCCCATGTTTTCACCTTATCTACCTTGTGTAGAAGTGAAAGAAAAGACTCGCTGATCTCGCAAAACGAACTTAATTAAATCCGTTCATGCAAAGGTCATCCGTCTTCTTGCAGTTCGCTGGTTACTCAGCCGAGTCCTTAGCCCAACGGATGTTCGACACGCAGTCAAGGATACTGGTCACCGCTGGTGAGCTTCCAACATTTGGTTGGGAATTGTTTATTGAGGAATACAGTATAAGCTAGACGAACTGGAACTTATCTCGGTCTTGCAGATGGATGCTGGAGAGGAAAGAAGCTCATTCTGCTGAAACCCATCGCGGATGAGGCCATTGCGATTTGCGCCAAAAAGTACGCAAAGACTTCTCAGAATCGGTGTTTGCTTTGGTCGTGTCGTTTGTGCCTAGCTGAGCCGAATTGCAGTAAAGGACGACATCTAACTTCGACCTTCTGCAAAGCAGAACATTGACGAGTTATGTCCTCACAGCTCTTCCGAGCTGTGAGGACGTAACTTCGCGCTCTCTCCCCGTGTAGGGAGGGATTTCAAATCTTGATACAAGAGGGCTGAAAAGAGAAAGATAATATTAGAGATGGGGAGTCCAGCATGTGGGAAAAGTACTAAGCCAACACTCCCTAGACAATACCGTAGTGCTGAATTTTACGCGCATCTACCGCAGGCCAGTGCGGGGCATATGTTGGGCACCAGTGCTATTTCAGTGTTCGGCTACAAATCGCGCTCATTCAATCACAACACGAGTTCCACCCTGACGATGACACAACACTCGTATCCAATATGTCACCTGCACGGGGACTCAGTATGTGATGTAGGGAATTCAGCACTATGGCTAAATTAACTATGATGGTGAAGTTGACCAAGTCCACGCGGCTCTATTTGAAAGAGCGGTTTCTGTCCATTGAGAACCCTAAGAACCACGACATCATACGGTTGTCTAAATTGTTCAGATGGACAATATACAATAGTGATATTTTTTTCGGACCAAGTCCCTGTTGAGAAAATGTGTTTTCTCATCCAGTTTTCTTCTTTCAGGGGTCATGCGGTGGAGTCTTGCATCGTTCTTCGTCATCTCATGTCAAGCGAGACCCGGTGTGGAGGCACTCTGCTCAATGGGGTATCGAAAGACTTCCTAGAAATCGTAAGTCAATTTAATCTCAATGTCACTCGCCAGGACCGCTCTTTTCATTCGATATCACTTTGGCATGGTTAAACTCCAGGTCTAGCAAAAGATCACTGAATGTGGAAAAAAAAAGTACTTTCACACTTTTTCGCATTATCGCAATACCAGGACACGACCACGGACAGCATCTACAGCTGGTGGCACGACGAGATGCAGGTTCAGTCCACAGACTGCGACGTCGTCTGGGTAGATTCCGAAGAACCGCTCTTTCTACTGTACACGAGGTAAATGTCCACCTGGCAAAGTGACCTCGAGGTTTAGTCCAGACACGCTTTGGTTCAGACCACGACATATTTAAACCACTAACATCCATACAGAACTACATAAGACACACACGAAAACAAAGTAAGATGATGCAACAACATTAGAGACAAACACCACACTTTTTCATTTTATTTATTTACACCCAGTTAGGCTTTACTTTTGTAACAATCCCCAATGGCCTTCATACAGTAAACCACGACGCTCTAAAAGAAGGAGGATTATCTACGTTTCCTTCCTGCTGCCCTTGTTTTATTATGCGATTCCCATCTTTAATGTTTTGAACTTTTCTTTACCGGTATACAAAAACAAGTGTTGCTATAGTACTTGCTTAAGGTCAATATATGTGCAGCACATATTTTTTAACTGGCTTTATATTCATAAGAACCTTAAGCATTGGGAAAACGATGGAAATATTTACGAGATTTTCGAGGACAAGCTAAAACATTTAGCGTTCCACTTGATAGCATATGAGTTAGTAAACACGGAAGTTATACTTACCATAAAAAGACAAAAGAACTTAGCTTTTTATTATTTCCTTGTCATTTTAAGATCTTTACTATGCCTCTCAGGTGTGTTTAACTATGTTAACCAAGAGCTTTTCTTTATTAATGTGTTCGTGCAGCGGTTCCACGGGACGACCCAAAGGCGTCATCCACACCACGGGAGGATATCTGCTGTACTCTCTGGCCACCGTGTACTACACCTTCGACTACCGGCCAGAGGACATCTTCTTCTGCTCGGCTGACGTGGGCTGGGTTACAGGACACACGCACGTCGTCTATGGCGTCTTAGCCAATGGAGCCACCAGCGTCCTGGTGGGTTGGACCATAGCTTCTATCTTCTAAGGACATCAGTGTATTTCACAGTTAAAAGTGTTTTCCCGTTGAATTTGTTTTGTTTCTTTACTGGTATGCGTCCCGGGTGTATCATCGCCGAATCTCTGATGCAGTTTCGTTTAAGAACAGGCTCTTGTTGTTGTCTTTTTTACAGCGACAGCCGTTTTTCGCGGGATTTCAGATCGGACCCTAGGGTTGGTTTTGTGTATGTCGTGGCATGACTTAACCATGACACGTGACCTCATGGTAAGTTTTCCCCCTAACTTTAGCGGGAAAAGTTGTGAGAAATTACCCAAGGAGCCACGTAACGTCACTTGAAGCCGTGACATCGCATGACACTGTGGCGTCAGATGACGTCATGGTCAGTGTGGAGTCTGCGTGCAGCAGAGTCTGAAGCGCCGCAGATGTCGCCACAGTTAATTCCCAGGACACGAGAGAAGGAATAGTGGGAGATTATACGCATGGTTTATGAATTGCAAGTACGCTTTCCTCAGACTTGCGTTCAGCGCTAAAACCTCGCACATTTAGGTTGCTCGAATCATTCCTGCTACATCGGTCTTCCAATCTGTATAAGCCAGATAATTGTTTGCCTCTTCATATAGTTTAAAACCAGCGATCGGTACGTAATAATTTAGACGGTAATGCAGTAATAAAATTGTAGACCGGAAACGTGTATGTTGAATTTTTTGTTCACGGCATCCCAGAAGACACTCCTTGCACATCATGGCATTCCCTTTGCCGTGCCTGGACCGTGGTCGAATCCTTTTCATTGTTTGGTGTTATTGCAGACTATCGTAGCAAATTTATATAGAGAGGTACGCCACGGGCTTAAATATTTTGATAAACCACAATTCCGCCATGTTTTCTAGGTCAGAAAGGAGTTGTAATGAACGTGCTAATCCTTGAGATATTAGTTTTCTCTTCTTGGCTGGGTGCTAACACAAGCCACTAAAAAATATTGTTCTTTCGTTTTGTTTTCAGTTTGAAGGTATTCCTTTTTACCCTGATCCCGGTCGCTTTTGGGAGGTTATCGACCACTACCAGGTGACCAAATTCTACACGGCGCCAACGGCGATACGGGCTCTTATGAAGTACGGTGATGCCTTCGTGAAGAAGTGAGTGCGTTTAACTCTTGTTAAAGACCGGTCAGAACACTCTTACTACTGCTTATATCACGTCCCATGGGAATCTATTTCGATTGATTTGGCATGCTCTGACACAACCAGGCACAGCCGCAAGTCCCTGAAGCTCCTTGGAATCGCCGGCGAGCCGATCGGCCCCGACGCTTGGTTCTGGTACCACCACGTCGTCGGAGAGTGCCGCTGCACAGTCCTCGACACCTACTGGCAAACCGAGACAGTAAGTCATATGGTTACCACTCCTCATAGCAACGCGTATGGTCTTAAGGGATAGTGGAATGACCCAAACGACACGCACACATTCAAGAGGAATTTTTGTAAACATATCCTCGAAGTAATCTTTGGGAAAGTCCTGTTCATGTTCAGAACCGAGGGGTATGGGTTTCTTATTCGGAAGCCTGTCCAGGAAAAAAAAAGGCTCCCGTGAATTTTCCAGTCAACACTTTTAAACACTGAGGAGACACCATAATAAAATAGTACAATATTGTTGTTCTTTTCTGAATTAGGTTAACGCAGTTGCGCTTCAGTACAACCGAGAGCGTCGTCATCGCTCGTGACCAATACCGACGAGCGGCCAATCACAGATAATTACAACACGCTAGCTTACTGGCGCAATCTTAGCCCTGGACCTGCCTATTCTAGACTGAAGGTTTCGCAGCATTGGCTGAGAAAATCTACGCAAGTATCTATTAGAAATGAAACAACGGTTAAGGTGCAGGCGAGCTAGAGTAAGCTATACATGATGATTGAAACCCGAGACAGTGGTTTGAAAAACGAAAACTCGTGAAGGAAGAAGAAAAATGGACAGACAACGTCTCAAACGAGACAGACAGGGTTGAGGTCTTGTCTGTCCCTTTTTCTTTCGCCTTAACGAGTTTCCGTTTTTCAAACTAGTCTCAGGTTTCGATGATCATGTATATCTATTAGAAATGGCCGCTTATAACATTGTCAAAAGTTTCAGGTCTACCAGACACATGGCACCAGTGTTGTTTCTTGTCGTTAGCAGCCATAAGCGGTTCTAACACACTTGGCCATACTTTGACGCTAATGGGGTACCAGCCTTGGGGGCTTCTAGGGCTGTTGAATAACAAGTGCAACTCTCGCGAGCTTTCTTAAACATGTCCTTTACGTATGACATCTTCGTTTCAACCAGGGTGGCCAGATGATCACCCCTCTGCCCGGGTGCACGCCGCTGAAGCCAGGAGCAGCTGTGAGTAAGCGGTGTTCCTTATTAGTCGCTCCCGCACTGCGGCTCTAATTCCCTTTCCTTCGCTTCACGTTTTGGCCGCCGAGCCGCGCCACTTTCCCTCATTAAAGCGTGTTCAGCCGTTCAAACACTTGCAACCGATTAAGACGGAGAGAAACAACACCGGTTTTTAAGCTTCTTGCGACGTCTTAGGACCGGATGCGGAAGAGGCTTAAAAACTGGTCTTGTCTCTCTCCATCCTACTCGGTTGCAAGTGTGTGAACGGCACACTCCCGCTTCTCTCCTTCGCGACCGAGTAAGACCGAGAGAGATTAGACCGGTTCTTAAGCCTCTTGCGACATCTTAGGACCGGATGCGCTGCAGCGGAGCTGGTCCTGAGAGATCGCAAGAGGCTTAAAAACCGGCCTGGTCTCTCTCGGTCTTACTTGGTCGCAGGCGTGTGAGCGGGGCCTTGAAGGTTGCAAATCTGTTTTCATCGGAGCTTTTTCAGCGTTAGGTGAACATCGGGGGAGGGGCGAGAGTGGTGAGCTTATTAACTCGGTTACTACGACGCAGACGCTGCCCTTCTTTGGCGTGATGCCCGCCATACTTGACAAGGATGGCAACGAAATCAAGGGACCCGGAGAAGGATACCTGGTGAGCGCGCTGCCGTCAGCGTACACGCCAACGCATCTCTCTGACGTCACGCGATTGCGGTGGCGCTGCTGTCGGCATTGCGCATGCGCAGACGCTTTTTCATTTGCGATTCTGGTTTGTGCGCAAGCGCGGTGCCCACGTTATGTGTTTGTGGGCGAACCCGCGAGCTTGTTTCTCAACAGCGTGATGGTGTGTTTCTGAATCAATTCCTGTCTGTCTCGCCCCGTTAATGGTTACTTAAGAGTGAAGTTGAAAATATTATTAAAAGAAAACTGGCGGTGGGGAAGCAGATAATCATATTTTTGGTGTAATTATCTCCATGTGACATCATTTAGACCTCAGTTCAAGTTATTGTTAAGGACCATTTCGATGTTTATTATGTGTGTGTGTGTTTTTTGCGTGCTATTTTGGTACGTTAAAGGTACACTGACAGGGTATTTATGCTCGCCTTGGGTTTTATTTGAACACGACCTATAAGGGCCCGACTACCCAGAACACAATTTGCGGCTCGAAATTCGTTCAAGCTTTGTGTCAACGCAACGAGCAATTTTGATAAGGAAAGAATAGCTAACTCTTTAGCGCAGCGTCCGATAGAAATCATGTAGGGGTCATTCCCACATTGACTCGCTTGTGCTGAAAATTCATGGGTTCAAAGGCACACATTTAATATTAAAAATAGAAAAGATTATGAACCCCAATTTTGTACCTCCAAAAAATTTGCAAATACGTTGATTGAAAAAAAAAAGTTTTACAGATCACAGGAAGTAGATGTACAAGTCATTCCCAACATGACGACATACCGCGGGCTGGACGACGCGATGGCGGACGTGGGGCCGCGACTTCGAAACTGTCGTTTGTGGTACCGGCCAATCGATCTTCAAGAGCAGAACATCGAGCGGAAGGAATATAATCGCGAAATAGTCGCACGACAAACGGTACACGCAACCTCGTCGATGTCGTCGTCTGCTTCAAATGCCGGAGAAGCGGAGAAAAAACATAAAAAAAGCTCGGAGGTTACATTTAAGCATTTCTTATGAGTTGTGAATGCGAAAGCATGCAAGCCGCTCGTCCGCTCCTTTTGTCGTCTGCTCGTCCGCTCTTTTAGTCGTCTGCTCGTCCGCTCCTTTTGTCGTCTGCTGCGTACCAGCGCGCGCGCGCTTCGGGATCTGGGAGGCCATGGCGCAGCGGCCAATGGGAGCCCCGTCGACGCGCGCCAGCCAATGGAACCGAAGGCGAATCGCTCCTTTTGGGATCGCGGAAACTAGGAGCCGCTTTCGCGCTTCACACTGATGACGTCAGCTCGCTCCATGAGACAGTTAATGCTTTCGCATTCAAAAAACAAACGCGGTCGGGTGTAGTTATCGTGACTTCCGGCCATATACTCTAAGAAATGCCTGCGCGTCTACTTACCCGCAAAACATTCAAAGAGCCAATCTCCGCAATCTACGAAATCAGCTCAGCGAATGAACATCAGTTAAGACCTAAAAATGAAGCCTGCGTTGTGGCATTACGCAATGCCAAGCGTCATGCTTGCAGTGCGTAATGCCACAGCGCAGACTTCATTTTGAGGTCTAAACGGATGTTCCACCTTATCATTCGCTCAGCTGACTTCGTAGGTCGCAGAGATTGGCTCTTTGAATGTTTTGCGGGTAAGTAGACGCGTAGGCATTTCTTAGAGTATATCGCTTCAATGCTCGTGTTTCGGTTTTGGGATCGAGCAGTTGATTTTTTTTTTTATTAAAAATATACGTGACCCTGTGGAAAAATATTAATTGGATAGTCTCCTAACAACCCTATTAAATCACTCAGCAAAAAACAAAATTGGGAAAAAGGGGTGTCAGTGTTTTTTTAGGGTGTTATTGTCTACTATACTTACGGCAAGCCGACGAACCGGATTATTAATGGCCAGAAGGTAGTACTTGTTGGACTCTTTTATAAGGGACGTCGCAAACACCACATGACTCTTCATTCTGAGAAAAGAGGGTTTAGTTGAGGAGAAAAAAAAAACGATTGGAGCCCCATGAACAGTTATGTGTAAACACCGTTTACACGGTGTTTACAGGACACATGCAAAAAGTCTGAAGTGTCGGTTTTTAGCACAAGTGAGCCAATCTGCGAATGACCCCTACATACTTTCGAATGCTGCGCTAAAGACTTAGCTATTTTTTAATCAAAACTGCTCGTTGAATTGATTCTATAGCTACTGAGAAATTAATAAACGCCGGGTGGGGCGAGCATCTGATTATCACTTTGCAGCGAATGAAATTGCAGTAATAGCCAATACGAACGCAAAAAAAAAAAAAAACGAATCGCGAATCTAAAAGGGATATTAACCGCCGAATTCAGAAAGCTCACTCAAACTACACTCAAACTGAAGGGCCCCTCCACTTCCTCGAGGAAGGCGCGAGGGCCGGCGCCGGCCAATCGCGAGGACGGATCAGCCGTCACGATTGGCCAGCGCCGGCCCTTGAGCCTTCCTCGAGGAAGTGGAGGGGCCCTTCAGTTTGAGTGTAGTTGGAGTGAGGTTTCTGAATTCGGCGGTTAGTCCCACCCTGCGTTACTTACGCTGAGACTTAAAGGAAAATTTTAGAACGCATTTTAATTTCGAGAGTTTCCTAACCCTGAGTTCTGACCTCGCAGGTGATCAAGAAAGCGTGGCCCGGGATAGCTCGTACCCTGTACAAGGACCACGACCGATTTCAGAAAAGCTACTTCACCAAGTTTCCCGGCTACTACTTTACGGGAGACGGTATGCAATGCCTGTTCTACAGTCCTTGGTGACGGCCGCCTGATGGCGGCTTTACACTTGCGGATTCACGGGCGGATCCGCACCAGCGGTGAGTGAATTTTCGGACCCGGGTGGCCAAATCCGCTCTTCGCTGGCGGAAACTCTGGATCGGTCCGAGACCGCATATCCAGATTTTCCGACAACGAAGAGTGAATTTCACCACCCGGCTCAAAAATCCGCTCTTCGCCAGCGCGGATGCTCCAGCGAATCCGTAAGTGTAAACGCGCCCTGAGGCGGGAGCGGAGTATTGTGCCAACCCCCGACCTAAAGGCCCGTTCACACACTTGCGACCTCTTAAAACCGAGTGTCTTGGAACCAAATCTCTTACGACGAGAGGACACACTGGCGCCATCTATTGCGTGGCAGTGTAAACTTGGCGGTCCGGCACATTTTCTATTTCCATCGCACATTATCCTGTCTTTCTTGGCTCGAAAAACTTTGCAAAAATCCCGCAAAACCTTCGCTATTTTGAAATGCAGTTCCAGGGTCACCGCATAGATGGCGCCAGCGTGCCAGTGTATTCTCTCCACTGATCTCTATGTCTATTTGCTGGATCGCGTTTGACCAGCTCCTCCTATGGACCGGAATGCGGTCACTGGCGGCCAACTTTAGGTAGAGTTATATCATCTCTAGCCATCATAGTAATATGGCGGACAGCGCAATGGCGGCAGGCTGCCATAAAATAGCCGTAGATCTAGTACACTGTACCGTGGGTGACATTTCGTGCTTGATTGAAGTTGTTCGACGAAGCAGATACTTGAAACCCGGCGTGAACGGTAGCCTCATCTTTGAGGACCCGGCAAAAGTTCTACGAAAGCGCAACACCTGGGGAAAGCAGCGCAGCTCGCATCAAAAGCAGACTCCGTACCGTCGTCTGCTTTCGATGCTTCTTTCGATGCGACTTTTGATACGTGCTGTGCTGCTTTTCTCCCGGTGCTGCGATTTTGTGAAACTTTTACCAAGTCCTCAAAAACCGGACTACTGTTCACGCCGGGTTTCAAAAACATGTTTCGTCAAATAATTTTAATCAAGCACGCAATATCACCCACGCTATTTTGACCGCAGCCTGCCAACCCACCTGCCAAAACGCTATCTGCCATGGATGGATGATAGCGGCTGCAGCAGCTTACATTGGCTAGAGGTGATATAACTCTACCTAAAGATGGTCGCCAATGACCGCATTCGCGGAGCGAGCAAACGCGATCCAGCAATTGTCATAGAGATCAGTGATTCTCTCGCCCTAAGAAATTTTAAGAGGTTTCAACAAGTCTCGTCTCTCTCGGTCGTACTCGGTTGCAAATGTGTGAACGGGCCTTAAGAGGTCATCCACGCCAATTCAGCATTGAAAAAGTAAAAGTAACACGTAAGCAAGTTTTGTTTTTCTCTATAGCTTCGTAGAACCGAAAGGTCACGTGATATGCGTCCGGGACAAGATTGGTGCGGGCAGTGAAGGTGAACATGTAAAAAAGGATGGCGCTGCTATTGTTGTTGTTGCATTTTCTATTTTCTTCTCTTTGTGATGTTGGTGACGGTGAATTTTTGCACCCAAGCCTTCTCATAAGGAGGTATACAACTCTTCCACAAGGGAGCAGCCATCTTGAATGTCGTCACTTCTGGTATGCGTCAAAAACATCATTTTGATATCTTCGCCGCTGGAAGGAGTTCATGAAAAATGTATGATTGTCACACATTCTTCTTTTCCCTCACCTATATTTTCTCGGATATTCCAGGTTAAAAAGTTCTATTATTTTTTCGTCCCGCATACCAGATACGAAACTCACGTGACCGAGTAGGCAATGCACTCTAAAAAAGTTACTGAGTTTATTTCCCTACAGAACTCAGAGGCAGCCAATCGAGTTGGACAACAGTACTGGCCCAGCGAACGACGGAGCTCACAATACGATTAGACTAAAAAACGCGACGCTCGCAGGGGTATTAGAGATTTTTCAGCCATCGGCGCGCAGGCGCAGTAGCGGCTTCTTCGTTGCGGAGGGCTTAATGAAGGGGGAAACGCGGTCTACGAAAACTCTCTACTATTGGGCTTGTCGTTTCACTCACCCGTTGTCCTTGCGCCCATCGCATTTTTTAGATCTAGTCGTATTCTGAGTTCTGTCATTCAATGGGATCACTTTATTGTTCACCTATAGATTAGCTTTCTCGTTGCTCTACTCGTAAGCTAACTCGCAGGCGTTTTATAGAGTATGATTATCTGCCTGCTCGTTGAGGACCGGGATTGCTTAATATTCAGCTATGCTGTCAGACACTGTTCGCTGGTCCATTCGACGTCATTGAGCCTGGGACCGTTTCCGCGGAGATGCGGGTGCTGGCGTCACTATCGCTTTTTCTGTTGTGGGTTCACACGGAGGTACGCTATAACATTCCCCTTATTTCATCACACGTCATCTAAAGGTACGGCTTACCTCTGCAGGAGCCAGGCGAGACGAGGACGGCTACTACTGGATCACTGGTCGTGTGGACGACATGCTGAACGTTTCGGGTCACCTGATTTCGACGGCCCAGATCGAGTCGGCACTTCTCGCCATTCCCGACCTTTCCGAAGCCGCCGCAGTGCCTCGACCCCACAAGGTCAAGGGGCAGTGCCTCTACTGCTACGTCGTTCTCAAGGAGGTGAGTACATCGAGTTCATTAATATGTTTTAACTTTAAAAAGAATATACCCAAGAGAACTTGCTGCTTCGAAGTCCATGGTTGCAACAGACCATTGGGGGATAATTGCTCTTTCAGCGTTCTGTTAAGCTAACGAGGATTCAATCATAAAAGGGGGCTTTGTTAACATCTTGGACAGAAAGAACGACGTGCTTCTCGTTGAACACTTGCCAGCTGGTCGTGTGGCCAAAATCCAGGGGTCGACTTTCAGAACAGGCCGTAAACATCTTTGATGATTACAAGCCTTTATGAGAGGCCCTGGGCGTTGTCGGGGCTGACAACAAGTTATTGCACAAATTAGACGTAGTTCAGTATATAAAAAGAATGTAAATTCACCCAATCAAACGAGAAAAAAAACATTAACACGTTCAAGCGATGTTGTCTGACCATACCCTGCACACGGGTCAGCACAAGATATTATAGTGAAGCTGAAGAAAACATGATGACAATCTGCGAGCCCCTAAGGTTTACACCTTGTTGTAGATAGTAACTACTTAATTGTAAACGGCTTGTTGAGGCTTAACATGCAGGTGACCTCTCTCTATTTTAAGGGCAAGACATTCACTGAGGACCTGAAGACACGGCTCAAGCAAAGCGGTATGTAAGCCATAGCTTTTTCATTAGGCTTATTAAATTTCCATTACGTCCGAGTTTGATTTCGAGTTGCCAAGCTCGCATAGGTATGCCCGGAACCTAAAGTATGTTTTCTACTCGATACCTTTAATAAACTATATGAAAACTGCGTTTTCAAAGACGCAAGGTGCTTGGAGTCGGAACGGAACCTCCAGCATACGATACTGATGGTTCTTTGAAAGCGAACTGAAAATTTGCCCGCTCTATAGTCTTCAAGTTCTTCAGGTCTTTCCACGCATTGTATCCTATAAATTAAGAACAAACTTACCGCATATAATTCAGAATGAACTAGTTTGTGAGAATGTCTACACATGCGGCTGAATCGACTCGATGAACGATTCCCTAAACGGTTGTTGCTCTTTGTTTACGATTGGAAGCCGCTTACTTCGTGGGACCCGTGTAGAATCCGCAACCCAGCAAATGGCCACCGCCGATAAAGCAAATCATTGCCGTTGATGTCTAATATTATTGTTGTAGATATAAGGGGCTTGCAGTATTATGTCATTCAGCGAATGTGACAACCAGGCGGCCGCTGTGTCACGTTTCGCCTCACAGTAGAACGCAGAAACACTATACGGGCCACCGGAGCCACTCGAAAGCCTTGGGACTGTCACGTGACATTCGTTGGGGCGCTTAGTCACGTGATGCGTTCCTAGCGATGGATTGGCTTGGGTTGGCTCGTAGTTTCTGCTGCTGTCCTTCACGCAGAAGACGCAGATATATGACCAGCGTTTCTGTTGCAGTGAGGTCCAAGATCGGCGCCTTCGCCGACCCCGAATACATTCACAGTGTGGAGCGACTCCCGAAGACCAGGTCCGGCAAAGTGATGCGTCGGATCCTCCGCAAGATCGCCTGCAACGAGCTCGAGTTTGGCGACGTGAGCGCGCTCAGCGAACAAGACGTCATCTCCGAACTCCTGCAGTCCAAGTGCTTCATCCAGAACAAAAACAATCGCTAGGTCGTTTTTTTTCCGCACTATTGCGCAACTTTGGGCTCGTTGGCACAGGGAATCGCAGCCGTCCTTTTTGACAATGAAGGCTTTTGGGGAACCCTTTTACGAACCCGTGATCGCTCAAAAACCAGGAACATCACTGGACATGCGCGGTTTATGCGAAGGTCATCGGGCGACGCGTGGTGACTGCGACTTAAAAGATGCACTCATTTGAATGGTTTGCGAAACTGTTCTCAGAAATTCGCTGTTCGGAATTTTAGGAAAATATGTGGTTGACGACGGCTTGGGTTGTGGCCCTTTAGATCTTCCATGGCCGATCGTAGCTTCACTCGGCGTCTGAGCGATGCAGAGCAACGGTGCCTTACCGGTCGTGGTCCAAGTTTGATCGTCTACAAAGTGGTTCCCCAAATTCCCTACTTGCTTCCGGCGACGCAGCTGGAATTAAGCGAGGCCTCATGGAAAAAGATATCTCAGTTCTAAAATTTGCAACTTTAATGGCAAGTTACCATCAATGCCGGATGTACTGAGTGGCAAAATGATGCCGCTATTTTTAATGCTGTAGCGTTTAAACGTTAGCCCTATCTGTTTCTGTGTAACCTAAACATGACAAAACGACAGTTTGAACATGAATCTATAGTGTTATTAAAATATTGTGTGAACCTTTCTAGGCCGCCATCATGGCAGTAAAATGTGGCTTTAGAGATGCACTGCAATTTTCAATGTGACTACATGCTACGAGAGAGCGTCACAATAGTGATAAGCCTCATTTCGTTATTTGCAAGATTAGGTTCTTCACCTCAATGTCAGTTTCGGGTGGTCACAACGCAATCCGAAGTGCCTTATGCAAATAACCATTGGGTTTCACATGTATTGTGTAGATGCGCTTCGCCAGGTGGCACCACGAGTGTCTTGCACTTCGTCTGGTCTTGCGAACCTACTAAACAAAAGATGTCAACATTTAAAAAATATATATTTACGAAATAGATTTTAGGTGTAAGAAAATACAAACTATATTCACGTATTGTCTTATATCTATACCTGCTGAACTTCATTTTAGATTGGTCAGTCGTTTGCTCGGAAGACAATGACAGTGCCAAATTGAATTAAGCTGTTTTATTTGGTGACCGTCTTGTGATGCCGACAGCTATGTGAAAGCCAAATAGCGATCTTTTTTTTTTTTTTTTTCTGGCAGACAAAAAGTACACTGCGCGTACTATGTCCTGTTAGATTAAACTCAAGGCACCCACAGTCGGACGGCCTTAACGAAATGAGGCGCTAATGTTGAATATTAAACATATCCAACATTCTGTTTAACCCGTCACTCCTATATTTGTTGCCTTTGAAACTAAACCACCTTTGTTTAACCATTGATGTATGATGGACAAGGTTAAATATGGCGTTTCTGTTCTCCTTGTAGCACCCTCCAAATATTTTTTTATCTCTTCATAGCAACTTTGTTAGTTTCCATGAAACGTTTTGTAGTTCTGTGTGTAATCACGTAATATTATCGCCTCTTGTTCCCTCTGCTTTCTGCTGTCTCTTTTCTCGAAAAGTACGCGGGCTGTGTTCAGATAAGATCATGCACGCGGGTCCGGACGTATTTTTTGTTTTGTTATTTTTTTTTTTATATGTTTCTCTTCAACATCTGTAGGGAACGTAATAAAAAGAGACTTATCGAAAAACATATTATTTAAATAGAAAAAGAAATGCCGATTTCGCCAGAACGACATATTCAATTTTTTTTTTCAAGTTTTCGTTTATGCCATGTTTAGTGACACCATGTAGAAAACTACAAATATCATAAATCTAAAATATTTTGCAGTTATAATAGGTTATGGAAACTATTGAGTAATATATGTACAGTATTGTGGAGGTCATATAATATCGCGTCAAAAATTCGCAAACGCGGCTCACGTTTCATCTCTAGATTCCTGAGCTGTTAGCCTTAGGAATTTAATATCTACAATATTAAAATGTATGTCAAATATTGCTTGTAAAACGTTCTTTCGAATGATATATATATATATTTTACGGGAAGTAGTTAAAAAAGAAGCCATTTTAGGTGCAAGAGTTTCGAGATTCTAGTTGAGCAAGAGTGCATGCCCCACGTTCTAATGCCTCATTCTCAAGATTGAGTGTTAATCGATAAATCGATAGGTTACTCAATGAGGTACCCACCCCTACCCTATATTAGGGATCAGTGGATTGAATCGATGCAAGCAGTGAGCACACTCCCTAACCAGGGAGTACAGAATGGATTGTCGATGATCTGAGCACATGTATACGTGCGCGTGACGTCATGAGGTCACATGACTGTGACGTCACACGCCGACAGGGTGACGTTTTACCTCACGGTGATATCATAATGACATTTGATATGTCACAGTTCTTCGGGACTGCTCTATAACAGTTCCAAGTGACGGTTCTTTATTACGATTTTCGAACATAATGCGACTGATAAAACAGATCCTGGGCTAAAAAAAACGTAGTTTCGAAATCAAAAGGTTAAAAGGGCGATGCCGCAATTCTTTGAACTTTTGGTAAGGACCGATTATAAGTATCTATCGGCATTTGTAACCTAATGTAACATGCGTTAATGTTTTCTCTATATGCAATTGCAGTCCCAAAAACAATGCGAGATAAACGAGCAAAGTCAGCCCTCCCCCCCCCCCCCCCCTTTTCAACTCGCAGTCAGAACAAGTGGTCACGTGATCTGCAACCGATAATATTCGCTCTTCCTCGCGTGAGTTCAAACGTGATGGCGCCAGTGTGCAAATAGCTCCCGACCCCTCCCGGTTCTGAATGAGACGGCGGGTTTTCTTAGTATTTGCGAAATCAAATATGCAATTGCTACCTTCCGGAAATGGCCACTTATAGCACCGTCAGGCATAATTCACTCTTGTGATAAAATAATGTTTTTTGTTTTTTTTTATTAGGAGATATACGTGAACCGGAAGTTTGCCTGGAATACCCAATAGATTGCGTTACTGAGTTTGCTGCTAAACAAAAAAGGGCGCCATGTTTGGGGGTGCTGTTTAGAGAGTTTAGTGGGTCGTCTAAAGCGCCGTTCACACTCTTGCGACTGAGTAAGACCGAGAGAAACCTGACCGGTTTTTAAGCCTTTTACGATTTCTTGGGACCGGATACGCGGCAGCGGAGCTGGTCCTAAGAGATCGCAAGAGGCTTAAAAACCGGTCTGGTCTCTCTCGGTCGTACTTGGTTGCAAGAGTGTGAACGGGCCTTAAGGCACACATTCAACATTCAAATAGAAAGGATATTACCCCCTTTTTTGTACCTCCAAAAACCTGCAAATACGTTGATAAAAAAAATGTTGCACAGGTCACAGGAAGTACTTGCACATGACCTTCTTAATATGGCGACGTACCGCGGGTTGGACGACGCGGTGGCTGCGCACGACGAATCATCGTGGGACCGCTACTTCGGAACTGTCCTTCGTGGTACCGGCCAATCGATCTTCAAGCGCAGAGCATCGAGCGGGAGGGATATAGGTGCGAAACAGTCGCACGACACACGGTGCACAGAAGTTCCTTGTCGTCGTTGTCTGCATTACACGCCGGAGAAGAGGAAAAAAAAAAAAAACGAAAAACGAGGTCGGGTGTAGTTACGTGATTTCCGGCCATGAGCTTCCGTGCTCGTGTTTGGGTTGCGGTTTTGAGCAGTTGAGCTTTATGGCTTCCATGTACGCAACTCTGCAGCAAAATGTTTATTGCGTGTTTTCCCAACACCCTATTGTATTTCCTGGCAAAACAAAATGGTTTGGGGGGGGGGGGGGGGGGTTCTCTGTCTCTTTAAGTGTCTCTTTAAGGTTCGGCTAATACCACTATCGCAGCGATTAGGCACAAGCCACCACCTTAATGCATGTTGAGACATTGGTTGTTATGAACCCAAATCGAACTATCATGCAGTGCTCCCGTTCTTTGATTGGGCCGCGTTTAAATATCCTCACGGCGCGTTTTACAAAGCTTGCAATCCTGAGGATCGCACTGCTGACAACGCCGAGAATGGGATTCCCATAACTTCGTCATCATGCTTTGCAAAGCAGAGACTCTAAGAAAACGCCCGCTTTTATCCTTGAAGTTACGCGGTGACAAAGAAGAAAGGTGCAGCTCGTACCAGTTGTTGGATACTGCGCTATCACGCTCAATAAAAGTCAGTTGTGAGTCAGCGCTGTCTGTGTCTCTCTTCGTCGAGTCTCTCGCCCTTTGCGCTGTTTTCATTCTCAAACAAGTAAGCTTTTTTGGTCGGTGGCATGGCGTGCGAGCATACTTGTGTCCCACTAGTGCCAGTTAGCTCGAGTAAAGTGAGAAGCATTCCTACCCAACATTGTTGCACGGTCCCTTTCAGAGGTTACCTTGACTTGTTTCAAAAGGAACATGAAACACATTTGGTCCTATAATAAAATTTTGATTATATTGTTCGCACATTGTTTAGTGGGGAAAAAGGAAACGATCACACGAGGTTAGAAAACCGAGAGTCTGTTTCTTTTTTTTTTTTTTGGTGCGTAAATTTGAAAATACTGTATAACGGGCTACTTCTTACCTCCTTTCATACGGAAGCTCAACGCCTTTTCATTGTGATGCATGAGCGGTGCCCAAGCGCATTAGCCGAACCCAGCCCACGCATCGGACACGCTCACTGCGTCACTCGGACGTATGCGCTCGTCAACAATCGATTCGTCGACGAAGATTTGAATTCGCGTTCGTGGCCAATCAGTGCCGTGTGACGGCACTTATCCATCACAAAAGCCGAATTCGGGGGTTTTACGTGCCAAACCAACGACGGGCATCTGGCACGCCCCAGCGGAGGACTGAGGATTAATTTGGACCACCTGGGGATCTTTTGACGTGCAACCGAAAGCTCGGTTACACGGCGCCTTCTCCGCAATAAGCCTCCGTCAGATTGCGGGCACCTCGGCCGGGATTCGAACCCGCCACATGGGGATCCGTAGGCCAGCGCTCTCGCCTCGGAGCCACCGAGGCGGCTACTTATCCATCACTTGAGAATGACAAGTTCCATGGCGTGCCTAAAAAGCAGAGTCGAAGCTCGGAGTCAACGTCTCCGGTGCCAATTCGCGTCACGACCACGTGCTTTCTCATTTCGGTTTTGAGTTGAGGAATAAAGCTAAGGAAGAAGTAGTTGAAAAATCATTTCATGGTCCCTTTAAGATATGATTATCTTGAAATGGGATTATAAAAAGCAGGTAGGTTGAACGTCGCAGCAGCAAAGCTTTGTAGAACGTAACAAATCGAGCGCATGGTAGGATTCAAGTATTTATAAAATAAACTGTTCAGCCGGAGTGCCATTCTCTCGTCGCTGGGGCTCGCGCTTGCGCTTGGATTTCGTGGCAGGATTGTCGTCCGTGGCGTTGGCCCGCCGGCGCCGGTCACATCGCTGCTGTTCTCGGCGTCGTTCCAGACGAGCGATCTGCTCTTCCTTCGCAAGGTATTCGGAACCACTCGACGCAGTGGAACTCGACGCGACAGTGGCTTCGCGGTGTTTGCGCGGCCATTCGCGCTGCTGCAGCACATAGCCGCTCCTTGCGCTCCCGCTCTTCCGAACGAACCGCACGCGGCCAACCCATCGTGAGTTCAAAGGGCAACTGATAAGAGCGCTAGCGCGATCTTGACGCCAGGGGACACAGGACACAGACCATTCGTAGGTGAGACGATGACGTAGGGTGACGGTGAACTGGCTCGAGTTTTGTGTCGACAGGCCGCTTGTCCGCGGACACGATATGGGAATTGCTAGTCCTTTAAGCCTGGTTCAGACAGTTGCGTTTGACTGCGTTTGACTGCGTTGCGGCTGCGAGAAACCAGAACATCCCTGCTGCTTATATTGCGTGCCAAGATGATTCCTTGAATTGGATTCTACGCTTCATACGAAGCATAGATGGGCCGGTGACTCGCTTTCGGTTCTCGACGCAACGCCGTCAAACGTACTCAAACGCAGGTGTCTGAACCGGCCTAAACAGCTTTGCCGTAAAAAGATATCTACCTAAGGCGAGAACACTTTGAAAGCCCAATTATCCAGCCGAGTAAACACGTTACCACTTGAAGAAAGCTCCTGACGTAAGCGTTTATATAAAGAAAACACACATTAAAAACGGAATTTTTACGGGGAAAAATACTTCAACAAAGTAAGCAACACGAATCACCTGAAAGGATAAACGTACCTGAAATTGCAGAACAAACCCACGGTCAAAATCTGACAGATCCTGATGACCACTATGAGAAGATAACCTTGTTAGAGAAAGATTCTAAAGTGTTTTCGGAAGGATGTCCCCAGGTGTTAATCAGACAAGTTTAATACCCATGAAGTTAAACTGAGGTTAACATGGGTCAGTTAATGCTTTCGGATTAATAAGAACAACATAACGAAAAACATCGAGCGCGAAGCAGCACCGTGGTAGTCACGTCTCGTGCGTCTCTCGCGCTAGGCACAGGCGGTACTGTTGTAAGCAACGCCACATACAGCACTCCTCCACGCTAGTTTAAACTACATTACATAATCGTGGTGCCGATTCGGAGTGCCCCAAATTTGTACCACGATTATGGTACAAGGATGGTCTGAAATAAATAGCGGACCATTGTCGTTACTATCATATCGGGTAGCCCAAAACAGCCAAACAGCTCTCTCAACTTGCCAATGGTGGCCTCTGCTGTGGTGTTGCTCATCCGACCTCTTCGGGCCATTTAGAATGGGGGTCGATGGGAGTCGATGGGAGTCGACACTGGTGATAAAGTTATGTCCCTGGAGCGGCCCTGCCAAGTCTAGGCGCAGGCACTGCCAGGGACGAGTGAACCAAGTCCAGGGTGAAAAGGAGCTGGTCCTGAAACACCCCTCTACTGCTGACAGGCGTCACAGAGCTTGACACACTGTTCGATGGCTGCATTTATTTCTGCCCACCAAACGTAACTGCGTGCGTCCTCTTTCATTCTGGGCGTCCCTGGATGCCCATCATGGA